TCCAGCAGCTCCCTGTGTTTCCCCACAGGTGCCCCAAGCCGTGGTGTGAGAAGGGTTACGGCAGCGACTTGCTGTCAGTTCGAGATAATACAAATTGTTCTTTTCTCTCTCCCGTTCCCAACTTGAATAGAGTGTAAAGCGTGTTACCATAAAGCTTGTTTCAAGTCTGGAAGCTGTCCCCGCTGTGAGCGGCTGCAGGCCCGGCGGGAGTTGCTGGCCAAGCAGAGCCTGGAGTCCTACATGTCAGACTCTGAGGAAGAACCCACCAAGGCCTTGGCCCTGGAGGCCGCCATCCTGGAGACCACCTGAAGAAAGCACGTAAAGCGCTCTTCCTAGGGGCTAGGGTCACACATAGTGCAGAACTGAGCCACCTTTTTAAGGACTTTCCCCACTTGTTTTTTTTTTTTTAATTATTATCATCATTAGTAATTTTTACGACCTGTCTAATGTCCATGTACAGTCAACCTTATTTAGGTTGGTGGGGTCCAGTCTCTTGTGACAATTTATAGGTACCAAGTATTTCCATCAGAACTGACACATGGGTCCCTAAGTGAAGCTTCTAGTGCCTGTGTCAGGAGAATGGACAGGGAGACCCAGTTCTTCTGACATCCATGGCCTTCTCCACTTGGACCAGATCTGGTTTCAGCTACATCTCGAGTATCATTTCCAGTTTTATTTTGTTGTAATTCTGGAGCTTCTGAGCCAGGCCTTTCTCAGCGAACTCACTTCTCCTTTGCTGCTGAAACAGGATGATGGAGTTTTCTCTCTCCCAGTCCTGGAATAGGGTCAGACCGCCCTGAGGAGAAGCAGCAGAGAATGGGACTACATCATGGGCATTCTTATTTAGGTGTTTTTGAGGCCATAAAAACAGCATTATTGCTACCTTAGAATTTTCAGAGACCTCAAGGAGGCAGTGATGACTTCCTTGTTTGAAATATTCTAGGCATAGATGATGTCACAGGCTGACTTTCTTTATCTACCCTGGGGGACTTGACACAAAGAACAGAACTGATACTTAGACCAGGCCCACTTCTAGCATAAGTGATGCTACAACTCTGTTGTTTAGGGAGCATTTATTCAGTCAGAGGGGCTGTTGGCCTCCTCTTAGGTGATCAGGTCCCTTTTAGTCAACATAGCTCTGGTGCAGGTTTGATCTTTCAAGCTCAGGCAAGTCCCTGACACCATCCTAAACTGAGGACAGAAACCCCATCTACCATTTTATCAGTGGGTCTCTTGCCACTGTGTCCTCTGTTAGGTGGTCAGTGTGGTTCTGAGTAGAAGCCTGGCCCAACTCCGTGCTCTCCCTCCACTCCTGAAGCACAGCTGGGACCCTCCCTGGTGGCTGATCTCTTGCGTTAGTTTCTTTTGTCAAAGTTGAGGAAAAAGCTTCTTGCTATTAGTGGTGTCAGACAACTTGGCAGTTTGTGGATGTGAGCGCGAATATTCCCGTGTTCTTGGGATAACAAGAGCCTTTATGCCAATTATGCACTTAACTCTTTAGCCTGGTGATATTCATGTGTTCACTCATCCTTTTCTTATTACTAACTTTAACACACACACACACACACACACACACACACACACACACTTTTTTAATGTGTGTTTTGATGGGAAAAGTTTTTGCTGGGACCGAGTATATGTTTGTCACATTCTTTAAGTTGCTGTACTTCCTGACCTGTATGTAAAACACTGGTCAGTATCACTGCTCTGAGGGCTGGCAGCTCTGTGAACTAAAGCCCAGAGCATTTTTGTTTTGGGACTGACTTCTTCCTGGGTGCCTGTCTTTCCGTAGTTGGTTGCTTGTGAGAAAAACTTGCTGTGGGTGCTGCCCCAGGAAGCTGAACAGAAAGTTGCACATGGTTGGTGGAAGCTGATGAGTGCCTGAGTTGGAGGCAACCGGGAGTCTCACAGGAAGTCAAAGGGGCAGTAAAGTAACAGCCAGAGCTGAGGCTCCACCAGGACAAGAGGGAGCAGGGAGGAATTGACCTCTGATGTTGGTCCCCCTGCTTCACACTTGGGATCTGAAGCCTACTTCAGGCTGTTCTCCCTTCAGTTAGCGGGTGGGGCAGAGGGGCTGTGAAAGCCAAGGCCTCCAGCCTAGCCCAGTCTTGAAGGGCGGACTAGAAGCTCCCTTGTCCTTCAAGGAGCTTTGGGAATGACCCTATGAGACTCAAGTCTCACTGAGGATTAGGCCTCGGATTCAGACGAAGGGCTTTGTGAAGATGGTGAGCTCTTCTTCCACTTTTGGTTTAAATTACAAGTCTAGCTCCTTACTCCAAGTCACTACACTGGAGCAGAGATATACTCTTATTATCGTCGTGCGTGTCTCATATAGCATAGGATCAAAGGATGGAAGATGCTGACACTGTTTCTAACGCTGAGCTCAACAATCTCACCCTCCTGGTTTTTCACTTATTTTTCTCCACCTCTCTCACCTCATCCCTTTAGGTTGCATATCTGTTTTAGTGACCCTGACACTGTGCTGTCATCACTGTCCAAATACCCATTTATTTATTTATTTGAGAGTAGGTGGGGAGAGGAAAGAGGATGGGATTTTTTGAAAGCACTTTGCAACTTATCAGTATCTGAAAATCCCTGCTGTTGCGGGGAGAAGCTTTGAATGCACTGAAGAGAGTTCCTTCTGAATGAAATGGGAAGGAAGAAGTGTTTTTTTCTATAAATAAAGGGAAAAGGAAGTTTGCTTACAAGGTGGAGACAAGATTTAAGACATAGCAGAAGAGTGGAAGGCAAATATTTTCCACTTAAATGAGGCTGTTATTGACTTTCTCTACCAAAGCTTTAGAGCTTCTGTTGAATTAACATAAAAGGAGCAAGAGTCTAAACGGAGATGTTCTGGGGTGTGTACAACTCGTGTTCCGAACTAGGTTTCTACCTGTTATAATTCATACACAGCCTGACAGTTCATTGTCGTCATTAATAAACTAAGGAAATGAAATTCTGCCTTTTATTTGCCTGCCTTGACTATCAGGAACTGGTATGGAGTGTCCACTATAAAGCAGGCGTGTCTGAAAATTCAGGAAGTTTCTGTGTATTAATGCGAAGAAAACTGGACCTTACAAGTCAGGAAAAATGGATTGGAATGCTTTGTCACTGACTTGCTCTGTGACCTTGAGCAGATCACTTCACCACTCTAGATTTCTGTGTCTTCGTGTATGAAGCACTTTGTGGCACTTTCCAATGCACGGGGTGTGCCCCCTACCTGTCCCCTCAGTGTAGCTGTCGCTTAAAGCGAGGTAAATCTTCCTCTCCACAACGTATGAATTGTCTTAGATGCTTCAGTTCCCACTTCTGTGAACAACCAGCTCTGAGTTTCTCTTTTATGCTCCTGGCCCGCTGGAGCTCCAGCTCTACCCTGCAACTTTCTGAACACTTCCCCCTTCGATGTCCCTTGCTTAGCTCCAACCAGTATGTCTAAAACCAACATAAGTATCGTATTTCCGCAAACCTAACCATTAGTCACCCCGGTTTGAAAATTTAGTTTCTTCCTCTCTGAGTCAGGTGGCACTTTTGGCTGGGAAAGCATTATCTCCTTCCCCACCCCCTGTCGTCAAGTTATGTTGATTTTTCTCTTTAAAGTAAATGTATCTCATTCCTTTTCTACCACTAGCACACAAATTCAGCTTCTTATCTTAAATCTCAACCATCGCCAGCCACGCCAGTCTCTTCCTATTTAATCATCCGTCTAATACTTGGGTACCTGCTGTATGCTGGTTTCTGTGCTAGGCTCTGGGGCTATCGCATGGAGCAAAACAGAGACAGTTCCTGCCCCTTAAGGCACTCAGGGTCTTGTGGGGGAGACAGACATTGCCCAAAGTTACCAAAATGAATATGTAATTACAAGCTGTAATAGCTATGAAGGAAAAGAGTCAATGCAGTTAAAAAAATAAATAACAAGGGTACCTAACTTAGATTGGAGAGAAGTAAGGCCCCTGAGAAGGTGGTACTTCCACCAAGACCCCCAAAATGAGGCTCAGAGTAGGGAGAAAAGGGCTCCAGACTGGGACTAGCATATACTGTTGGTCTTAAGACAGAAGGAATTTGGGGAAGGAACTGCAAGAAGGACTTACTAAGAATTTCAGATTGTACTGTAAGAACTTGGGACACCAAAGATCTTAGATTTTCTTCTGAGAACATTGGAAAGCCATTGAAGAGTTTTAATCAGAGGAGTGACTGATCTGGTTAAAATGTCAGCATCCACTTTGCCGAAAATAGAGTAAAACAAGAGTAGAAGCGTTAGATATCCTAAGGAGATGTTGGCTGCCGTAGTTCAGGAGAGAAATTATGTTAGTTTGGATGAGGGTGTGGCATAGCATTGTCACTGTCACCTCATTAGCCCAAAACCTCTAAAAACAAGATGAATTCCAAATGTTTTGTTCTGACTCTGACATTTTTAAGCAGGGAGCAAAAGGCTGGGGGTGGGGGAGTGGGGCAAGATATTAGAAAGATGCTGGGATACATTACCGAATCCAAGGAAAATTAACAACTAAGTTTCAGGAAGGGCAAAGATCAGGGCAGCTCTAGAACCTCAGCTGCAGGATTTGCTGTCCTCTTGAGTCTGCTGCCAGCGAGGCAGGCCAGACAGTAGACTTATGGCTGTGCTGGGGACTCCCTACTGAGGATTGGGGGTACACCACAAAGAAAGGGGAACTGTGAGCTGGGCACTCATCCTTTCTGGCATTGACTTTGTTATTCATTTTCTGTGGCCCCAAATGTTTGTAAGTTTACTATACCCTCTAATGGTATAAAGAGTAGGCATAATTTTTATAGCATCCTGGTTAAAGTGAGGCCCAACCCTGCTTCCTTTTTCCTTTGAACGTTTGGCCTAGAGGATGGGAGAAGGGGATCAATATGCCCACCACCATATCCTGCTGCCTCTTCTACCTGATCAACTATAGTCCTCTCCCTTTTCTGATCTCCAGGGTATCAAACTGTTTGCTTTTAAAGCTTTAGTGAAGCAGCTGCCAGATGGTCCAAGCATTCCAATTGTGAGCTTGACGTTCTTGGGATCAGAGATGAATGTGATAAAAAGGAAAAAGAATCTACCTAGCACTAGTATTCTAAGAGCGTGGAGAACACGAGGATGTGCTTTGTGTATACCCTTGCCTCCCTCAATTCTGTGGACTGCTTCTGGGGGAGGAACGGAAAGCAGAGAGCTGTGCTCTGGTTTTGGATGTACATTTAATACCAGACCAGCGAGGTGAGAGTTCCTGTGTTAAAAGAAACCTTGCATGGTCAGAAGGTTCTTAGGATGTAGGTGGGAGTTTTAGTGACCAGCCCTCCAAGAGGCTACAGCAGACCAGTAAGACTCAAGCCTGAAACATAGCACAGCACATGTATCCTGTAACCATTAGGCAACAAGCCCTAGGAAAGTCCCGTCCTTTTCTCTC